CCATATGTATATACTTCTGAGCTCCCTAGCGCTGCTGAAGCATCAGCAGCCGGTATTGAAGATCAGTACACTCAGTTTTCCCTTTATGATTTACATATTGTCTCATCGAAATAATGATTCTCGTGGGGGAAAATGTGTTTGCAGCTAGTTTGAGTACAGTGCCTGTCCATAAGACACACGTGTGGTATTCGGCACCCTGACACGAGAAGGCTCTCAAGGAGGCGTTTGATGTGTCACCAGTTTTGGTCACATTTCCACTCCACGTCCATTAAATGAGATTGAAAGGTTTTTGGCAAGTGACAGACTAGCAGCAGAGCTGGCAGCAAGCAAGCAAGGAGTAAAACACCATATTTCACATCTCCTTTTGCTCCCCTCCAGGACCAAAGGTGATGCTGAACATCAAGCAGAGGGTGGCCCAGGGCCACCAGCAGGTCCTCAGGCCTCCTCCATAAATCCCCCCCTGCAACTCCTCACCCCTTCCTGAAGCCAGTCTCCAAATCCCCCCTAATTTACCAGCACCATTCTCCCCTGCTCTGCTCGCTCCGTTCCTGGCCCTCGCCGAAGCAGAGCCGCGCAGCCTCTCCTTGCACCGTGTTCATGAGCACCAGAGAGATCAGCTCCATTTCATTCCAGTATGGGCATGCGGGGGTTGTTCCAATTGCAGCTCCGATTTTGGGCAATTTTGCTTTCCAAGCACTCCCCTTCCAGCTGTGAGAGGGCACATGCCAAGGATGGTCGCCAGCACCTCGTGGAACTGTCTGGTGCCCAACAGGAGCATCTCCAGAAAGGAACCATTTGACCTTAAATCTGAGCTGCTTCATCCTTGAGGGCATCCCTCACTCAGCATTTTTGGGACTTCTTTGCAGCTTGTTTTTAAAGTTTGCCTCACCACTAAAGGTCAGCCTTGCTAATGTTTTCCATGCTCAGTGCTTATCTGGCAAAAGTGGGGAGCAGGACCAACCCCAACACAGCAGGCGGTGGAAGCCAAACCTGGCAGGAATGGGGCTAATTGAGCTTCTAGGGTTCAAAAAACCCCACAAAGTGTGCTTTTTTTACCAAGCTAAAGCACATTCACAAGGTGTCTGAGTGAGGGTGTTGCTCAGTGGTAACCATCACCCCAGCGCTACCCCTCCAGCTCCCCAGGCACTGTCACCCCCTCCCCTGTCCCCAGCACCCCTCGAGGCTGGCAGGGATGGTGGCAGTATCGGGTGGGCACCATCCCACAGCAGGCAGCCCAAGGCAGGGGGGTCAGTGACAGAGGGGGAGGGACAGCATCCACCTGGCTCTGGTCCCCCAGCTCCTACCATACCCCACACACCTTTTGACACCAGACACAAAAACAGTGTCCTTCTCGGTCATGTCGGTTTTGATATTTGCCAACTGCCATATAAAACAGTAAATGAGAATTCTATGAGAATGTCTCCTGCTGTCAGGTTTTTTTAGATGCTGAAAGTTCATTTCCTTTCTCTCCAATTTAACTTTGTATTTCCCATTGTTGTTGGCAGTCATTTCAACACGGCACAGACATCACTGTATTGGAAAATAATTACAATGACAGATTTTGTTTTGCTGTATGAGACCTTCCACTATTGAATCTAATTACTGCTGATACTTTATGAGCTTCTCCAGCATGAGATAATTGCCGCTTTCTCTTTTTATGAGCAAGAAATAATCAGTTGCCTTTTAAGGTGAGAAATATAAACAGCAATTAAATACCACGGCTATCCAGCCCCTCTCATCAGCTGGCACCTCTCATCGGAGAGCCAACACATAAGATTAGGCTTCATTTATCGTTTGCACTGAATAATTTTTTTAACAGAGGGGAGAGGGAGGGAATAAGGAACACCCTCAAATGATCAATAGTTTTCTTCAGCTAATGAAATGCTTATTTTCATACGGAGAAGCGGGAGTATCTCACTGGCAAAGCAGTTTGCTCGCAACTCACAGTGCTCAGCGTCAGCACCAAGCCCTTTGCAGGACCCAGCCTTGGGGAAAAGCTGCAGAGAAAGCTCAAGCATCAGGGGCACAAAACCACACTTGATTCCTGCCAAAACCTGCTGCTTCGGCAGTCTTTTCCCTGATCCAGTGTTTCTAAAAAGATATTTATGCGTATGTATCTCCTAAACATCTTGACATCAGCACGGGGCCCTTGGTTACAGCATCACTCCTGGAGGGGATGGAGCAGGAGGAGACCTTTATAGGGGGACCCATCAGACAAGTGGGAGCTCAGGCTGGCTTTTGCAGTCCTGGGATGGATCTTCTCTCTGGGGCTGAAGCCTTACCCTGGAGGTGTGGTCCCAGCCCTGGAGCAACCAGAACGTCCCTGCCATGTCCTCCAGGCTGGGGTGGGATACGGGAACATACATCAGCTGGAAACTGCTGAGATAACCTCAGCCAGATTATTTTTTTGGTTTGGATCATGAGAAGCCTTCATCTGACACTCTGTTTTGGCAATCCTGACACTAAAACCAGGAAGTCTAGTAAACAAATACTTCTTTTCTTTTTTCAGTGAAAACATACAGAGAAAAAAAATCTCACATCTCAAACAAAAGCACTAATGGTTTGCACTCAGGAAAAGCTTCTGATGCTGCCTGGAAGTCTGTCCTATCTGAACACTGGTGACGAGTTTCTCTACCACCTACAACAGCTTAGTTTTGTTTTGTTTTTTTGTTTTGCCTTTTTTTTTTTTTTTTCTTCAGTTCTTTACATGAACAAAGCACCTGTGTTTGAATAATTCATTGAGGAGGTTTGTGCCACTTTGCTTGCAAAATCACAGCAGGGATCGATGTTTTTAATGAAATACTTTGCCAGCTCCTCTCTGTGAAGGAGTTTTGCTCCATTTGCTCCCTTGACAAACGCCTGCCAGGCAGTGAAGAGCAACACACCCCATGGGCTGAGAAAACGGGGTGATAAGGGCAGCACCTCCTTGTCTGGCTTTATCCATCTAGAAGGGAAATGTTCACATTTGACACAAAGAGTGTTGTGATCCTTCAACCTCACAGGAGGAATATGCCTCCAGCACTCTGGATCTGCCCAGTTCCCTCCATAAGATCACGATGGAGGTGACAAGCTCAGGTTCAGGTAAATAACTTTTACCCATTGCAATTAAGGCAGGTGGATCCTGGTAGAAAGATGTTCTTCTTATGAAGGCAGTGGATTGGGATTATGAATAGCCATCCTGCTTCTGCTGCAGATTTCTTATGCAAGGTAATACCCACATGCTTAGATGCCTAATTTATAAACAGGGAACAAGCCATCCTCCTCTTGCAAAATACTGGGAGGAATTAGTCACATATATTAACCCCACATTTGAAAAGCAATGGTGGAAGGCATCACAAAGAGCAAGTTGGAGTGAATTACTGAGATATCTATTAGCATGTTAACATGTATTTAAAATACATAGTTGGCAAAACTGACTGCCAGAAAATTTGTAATAATGAATGAGGCATGAACAGACTCAGCAACTTAATTAGAAAAAAATGAACTATCCTTGTTGTCCTGATTTTTTTTTACCCTCTCATAATATTGATAACAAATTCACAAATACTTCAGACAGATCAGTGCTTGGCCAAAGACTTTTGCTTTTAGTTTACTATGGCAAGACATCAACATGTAAAATACGTGGCTTCACTGTTTATACTGCCCTCCTCACAAACATTAAAAAGGATAGATTTTGATCAAGCAAGGAAATAGGGCTCTCTACTCAGCAACAAGGGGGGAGAGAAATTTTCTGTTTCCCATTTTAACTCCTAAAACTTCTTATCATTATCACATCTTTAATGTGGAGTAATCTGAGTTTCTCTTTTAGCTTCAAAGATAAATGGAAGGGAGATTTCAATTTGGATTACTCAGAAGAGGGCTGGAGTTGAATCTGGAAGTCCTTACAGGTGCTTGGAAAAAGCAGACCTCCCTCCTTGTCTTGGTCCTCAGTGCACCACATTACTGCTCACCAGTGAAGAGGAAGACTACTTTTCTTTCATCGTGGCACGAAAGAATGATGCAAATATGGTTGAAGGTAGAAATTTGAGGAGGATTGTTTATCCTGAGGTATCAAATATAACTGATACAGCCCAGTTACTTTATTAAGTGGTGTGGAAAGGACAGGAAAATGGATTCAAAGAAACAAGAGCTCTATAAACAACTTCTCCTGTTAAGACACCAAATGAATGGTGCACCTCTCAGCAGGGATATTTTTCTGGTACATCAGTTCAGATATTCTAGGTATTCGTAAATAAACTTCAGTATGCCTCTTGATCAGTGCCACTGTCTAGTAGTCCATTATTAACAGTATCATTAAGGTACATAGTGGATTTTTTGAGATGCTAGGGCTATTCACAGATAAAATAGGACATTATGTCTCTGTTTTGGCGCCTGCATGATTTCCCTGTAGTCCTAGAAACACACAGCCCTCTAGTTTCTAACACAGAAGCTGTGCACATGAGCAACTCTACTTCTGGAACTCTGGATGCCGTCCAACATGGAAGCTGTATTCAATGGCACCTCTCCATGAAGTTGCCAGAAGCATTCCCAATGACACTAACAGGAACTCGTGCATTCAAAATTCCACCCAAGAGACCCACATTTGAAGACAAATTGACTGAAGACCCCCTTGTCTGAAGACAACTGGAGCACCTTCATGCTTCAGGCAACACAGAGAGTAAACTGTGGCACAGCCAAGAGCACCTGCCAGATGCAGGAAGGGTGCTGAGAAGTTACAGTGCTCTGCCACAAAACTTCCATGCCACCATCTACTGCACATGACATTGGCACCCTTGTTCACAATCTGCCCAAATTTTCAAGATTCATCTGCTGTTAACACAGAAACAATCCACTGTCGCCACGTTGCTGCGATGATCCACTTACCGCACAAATGCAACAGCACGAGGAGGCAACACTGCTGAATAGGACGAAGACCTTCAGATTTAGATGCTGTGTTATTGTAACATTTGCAGGGTTTGCTCCGAACCCGTGGAGGACAAGGCGCAGTGAGGAGGACTCACCCGTTTGGTGTAGTCCATCGCCTTCAGGATGGAGAGGTTCAGCGTCTCCAGTGAGGCCAAGACATCTTCGTAGTCTCCCATATGATCAGCAAAATAGTCTGGGGAAATCAAAAGGGACATGAAGGAACTGTTGATGGAACTTAATGCTTCAAGGCTACTTGACACCGCAAGGTGTATTTATTGGTGGAAAGAAAAACCTGAGAGGGTGGTTTCAGGTATATTTTTATTTTCTATATCCTGAGCCAGAGTCACAGCTTGTCCTGCAGGGATGGGAAGTGGTACAGTTCCCACGAAGTTTGGGACCATTGTAAAAAAGAGGTGTAAGGCACAGTAGCTCCCATTGAAAATAACTTAGCAGGTGCTATATTTCCATGCCCACTTCTGTATTTGACCATACCTTGGCTCTTTCCCTCCTGTTGCCAATATGGAGAGACGAGTCTCAAAAGAAATCCCCTTTCCATCCCCTTGACAGTCTTTACCACTCAAAGCATCCAAATACCTGCCACGTTCACTGCAATTTATGTGAGCTGAGACTGACCTTACATCTATCCATATATTCCCCATCACATTTGCACCTCAGCCCACAATCACAGTTGCATGGGCTTCTGAGAGCAAAATATGCCTTGAAAAGAAGAAAACAGAGCTGCAAGCTGGGCCCAAAAGCACATGTTCTCCACAGAGAGGGAGCCCACACTTTCTCCATGCCATCAGCCCTCCTGTGGGAAGGGTGATCTGCGCCAGGTTGCACCGCAGCTCCAGCAGCAATCCCAGCTACTTTGGTGCAAAATACAGCCAAAATTTGTGTCCCTCACCACGGCAATGGCTCCATGACACCCACGAGCCCCAGTGCGGTTTTGTGCATGAGCTACAGAGTCTTGAAATTTGCTGTTCGCAGCAGAAACAGTGAGAAGCGAAGCGCGATGGCAAGGCGTGTGGTGAGTTTGCAGTGTAGATGCAAAGTTACCCGGTTTCCGGGTGATTCATGCAGACTACACTAAAAGCTGTTCCCTTAAAAGCCACCAGTGCTGTTCCTTAGTGCTAAGACACGAAGCTTCACACTGAGGTGACATCTCTGCGGAATGCAACAAGACATAAACTCCGGGAAACAATTCCACTAATTAGGTTCTCTCGGCTTAATTAGAAGTGCCTATAGCTATTTACAGCCCGCAAATATATCCAAGGGGAAGAAGATTTTGGCAGAAACCAGAATGTCACAGCATGATTGACAGCAGCTGTTTGCTGTTCCACAATAAGCCAAACAGTTTATTCTCACTGCAGCATGTTTACTTGTGCTATTCTTCTTCTTATTATGCTTGGAAAAAAAAATCTGAGCAGATCTTAAAGGTAAAGGAGAACTATTTTTATAAGTCTTGAAATGAAAAGCTAGATCCATACATTTAAGGAGAAATGAGCTGCCGTGGGCAGAGCACAGCCCTCAAGATGGACCAAGATTCACCCAAGAGGAGAATGGCATTGACTTAACCCAGGTATTGAGTTCTACCATGTTAGCCTCATTTATTCATGGAACATCTGAGATCAGCTTTTCCTATCCTACATGGTTCTTGTTCACGGCTCCTACATGTCTGTGGAGAGCAGTGGGATCAATGCCCAGGAGATGAGCACCACCACAACCTGGGGCTGGTGTGGAAGGAAGGGGGTGCCCACCCCCACCTCACCCACCAGCCCAGTAGTCTGCACTGGGTTGATGTACATCTCCCTTTTCTAGAGCACATCTCTGCTGGCCAGACAGCTTGTACTGTTGCATGCAATGCCAGTGTATTACATTTAAATTAAAGGGTGGTGGGTACAATTTGGTAGCTGTATGTGCATTTTCTGGGCATATTAAGTGCTGCAAGCTGTCCTGTGGCTGGGAGCTCCTCACCCCCACAGGAGCTCCCAGTCATGTTTAAGTCTGCCTAGGTGCTGGTGACTGTTGCATTAGTTGGCAGATAAAAGCCCCAGAACTTTATAAGATGCTACCTGATACAGATTAAGCCATATCACATTTCTTGTATGAGCTGCAGGGATCAAGAAATCCCTCTTAAGATGCTCTCAATGTCCTACAACACTCAACCCATTTCAAGAGGGAGACCACAGCTTCTGTTTAGCCAAAATGAGGTTTTATATTTAAACTAACACTTAGAAGAGTAGCAAGCAAATAAGAAATTGCAGGCGAGGGCAGGTATTCAGCAGATAACAGATCATGGCAGGATCATGTGCTGATCAGTCCTTCCCCCAGCTTCCTGCAGGAGCTGATGGGTTTCCCTCCCTCCTCTCCTGGCAGCTTCACCCCTGGGAGAGGCAGCGAGCTGGGATCACGCTGAGTGACAGCTGTGTGGTTTTCTGATTTTATCAGCCTGATGGAGGAAACAGGGTGGGGTCAAGCAACAACCTTACTTATCCTTGTATTTCCTGGCAAAGTTGACGGTACAGGCTGTGGGGTTTTGGTTTCTTGGGTCAGCTGGCAAGGACACCTAAAGCAATGAGAAAGCAGTGATGGGAACAAGCCCATCCTATTATTGGCAAACCAAAAGGTTTTTATGGAAGGCTTAGTTTCTTGTGTACCAAACCGACATGAAGTGGGGTTAACCAGCTAAAAGTTTGCTGCAGGCTTGAATGCTCAAAATCCTGTGGGGTGCTGCAGTTATAAAAGCAGGGTTTTGGCAGGGGTTAAGTACATCAGGAGGAGAGAACCCCTGAGCAATGTCCTGGTGCAGGCAGAGCCAAAGGCAGGCTGCCGTGGACAGAGAGGTCTTAAAAGTGTCAGGAGCAACGAGTAACTGCCCGGTGCTGGCTCAGGCACCCCAGCAAGCGCCTTTCTGGCCGCGTAACCTGCTCTCAGCCAGGACTCTGGAGGCTGTAAATAGTGGCAAAGTGATGAAGTTAAATGATGAGGTACCTGCCGAGGTGGCTTTATACATTCTTCAGCATCCTGGCATGGGAGGGGTGGGGAGGAGAAGAGGTGAATGAGCCCTCTGAAAGGCCACACACCTCTGTCTCCCCATCTCCTCCCAAAAAGCCGGGGCACAGGAAACATTTCCCAATACCACATGTCCATGGAAAAATACACTTGGGTGAGCAGCAGGAGCCCTGTGCGCGAGTCACCTCCCATCAAGGCAAAGCCCTTCAGAAATCCCAGCAGGAAATATTCCCTTTTCTGGTCAAGGTGTGGGACAAAACATTATCAGAGATTTTATTTTCAGCCTTTAATTTCTGCAAGCTGTAGGAAGTGCAGCAGAGGTGGTGTACGCCTTAGGCATCCTGCTGGGAAACACGTTGCGGGTATTGCAGAGGGATGCTGGTTTACTGAACTTCCAAGCGGAGCTGGAAGCCATGACATTGCCAGAAATTAAACTCTGGCTTGCTATTGAATAGAAGCCAGGTGCTCCTCTCAGCTTTAACCCCATTTGTGTTGCAAGAAAATGAGGAAAAGTTTTGCCAATTTTCCTGTGGAATAAGGGATGAAGCAGCAGAAATGCTGAGACCCCCTGGCTCTGCAGCTGCTGTGGCTCTGCCAGCTTTGTAATGGGTTTTGTGCATCCTCTGAAAGCACACGTGCACACAACGACTGCTCTTGACCCGAGAGAGGGACCACACTCACCGCACAGCTCCTTGGTGTCCACGTTGCTGGAAGAAGGGGAGGACGAGGCAAGGGAGGAAGCAGGAAAAAAAAAAAAAAAAAAAAAAAAAGAGAGAGAGAAATAAGATTTTAATGTAAAGGAGAGATGAAGGATACAGTTAGGATTTCTGCAGGCTTAATGCCTGCTATGTCACCTGCCTGCAATGTCACCCGCCCCTCATCATCTCCCCTGCCACTCGTGGGGACAGCCTAGGGAGAAGGCAATGGTTGGTGCCACGGAGGGCAGCCACACCCCTCTGCATCCTCAGCATCCCTATGGCTGGCCCAGGGTTCACACATCATTTTGGGTATTCCCTGAGGGGGACAGGGGGACCTGTACTTTCCCCCCAGAGGTAGACCTGTGTCTATGGGGGACCCTGTGCCCACTTGGCACAGCAACTCCTGTCTTCCCCCCAGATATCCACCCCAGTGAGGCACCCGCTGTGGCACAGGAATCTGTTCCCATTTGCTTGGGATAAAAATTTGCAAAATTGACTTTCTTAGATGGATCAGTTCTCATGATTCTGCCCTCACAAAGCATCCATGGGGCTGTGCACAGTTCCTACCCAGGATTCCCTCTGGACAAAATTGCACAATTACTTCTCAATACATGAACATTTAGTTTGTGTAATGAAAGCTCAACAGACAAACTGTTCAGGAAATAAAGATTGCTGCTAATCTCTCTGTGCCTCAGATACCCACACAATTATTAGTGCCACTCAAGCACCGGGATGATCTCTTAATAGAATTATATTTTATCAACCTATTGATGTCCTGGAAAGCTATTTCTTTAACTAAACTCAGCCCTGCTCTGTCTGGCCTGTCAACTTAAGTGGATTAGGGAAAGAGATGTTTTCAATACAGTTTTTATTAGCGGCATCCTCCTTCAGCCCTGCCCCTCACCCTTAAATCCCACTGACCGCTTGCCCGTGCCCTAACCAACAGGTCTGCTCCCAGCCCACGGGACCTGGGCTCTTCCCTCCCTCTGTGACCGTGAAGCTTTCACTCGCTGCTGGCCCTCTCTTGGGGTGAGATATCCTTCTGAAGGGATGGTGCATGGTGGGAAGCATTAATTTGGTCCAAAAATTTGGACCCCGAGTGAGCAGAGCAGCCTTGCTGGGCTGTGTGTGGCAGCAGGACGGGGCACAGGCTGCATTTCCCACTCAAATTGCATTATCAAGAAAGTGTCTGCTTTAACAGAGAGACTCATATAGGAGATATTTTCTTTCTATTCAGGCTCTTCCTGAGAAGATACAAATTCCTGCAGCTCGGGGACCCTGTTGGCCTCTCACTAGATGCATTTTATCCCCTAGGTGCATTAGCCAGCTGCACAACAGCTAAGTAGAAACACACTGGTGAGGATCCGGGGAGGAAATTCCCCAAATTCACAGTGCCACTCGTGCCCAGGTTCTCACCAAAAGTAGAGCCCCAGGTGACAGAACTGGGGACCCCTTCACTGCCACTCCTGAGCTGTGGCACCTGCCAGGTGCTGGAGGCAAACACGAACACCTCGATCCCGTGAGATGCTGGCTGCCAGAAAGGTGCCACCCAACCTGTCTCATGCTGTAGAAGCACATAACCTTTTGGTAACCGATGTCTGCCACTGTATAAAAAAATCCATCTCTCATCTCAGACACCTTTGTGGTGCAGGATACACAACGTGGCAGCTGCTGGCAGCAAACGTGCTGGTACAAGCTTCTGCTGGAGGTGCGGGCAGCACACGCATCTCTCTGCAAAATGAGCTTTCACAGTTCTTTATCTTAAATCCCACAGAGATTTATCATCTTTCTAAAACCCTGGAATCACTTCACTGAATCCTACAAAACTCCCCAGGGATGCTGTGAGCTCAATTTCCCTGACTTGATGTTCTAAGGCTCAAATTCACTGAATATGCAGACCTGAAACGCTACCCAAAAAAGATGACTCCTGACCGAATAGTCCACAGCACTTTGGCAGACGGGATTGCTAACACGGAGCCTCAGCAATTCAGAGGCAGAGAAAATTCAGGGAAGGAAGAAACCCAGAAGATGCTTTTCCAGCACCGTCACAGCCCCATGCCTGCCCGAGGACCACAGTCGGTCTTTTATCCAAGCTCTCGCCAGCACAGAGTCTGGGAAGTTAACCAATACCCTCAGTCATGTGCACAGAAGTAGTTTTTACATCAGCATCAGCCGTAAAGTGCTCAGATAATATTTTTCAGAAGCCAGTCAGTGTTTATACACACCTACTGAAAGTGGTTATGGGTTTGCAGCTAGGGCATGTTACTGAGAAAAAAAATATATTATTGTATTCCACGTGGTTTTGCATCGTAACAATTGATCTGCTGCTGCCAAAAGTGACCTTTTATTTCCTCACATCCTGCCATTGTATTATTTAACTTAATTGTGCTTGAATGTTAATTTGGCTGAGAAGCTGCTTTTAATTTTAAGCCATATTGCATTAAGAATAAAGCCCAATTAAATAAATTACTCAAGTCATAAGCTGACTTAGTAAAAAATATGATAATATTCGGATGAAAATTTGTAAGGAGAAATCAATGAGTACTTCAGCACAACCCACAGCATTTCCTGGGATGATTCCATCCCACAGGAGCGTGTCCCTTGGGAACGTTGCTGACACTCAGCCATGTCCCCATCAGTGTTACAGGGGTTTTATTGCTCAACACGGGTGCTGCACAGCTGAACACGCAAAACAAGGGATGTGCAGTACCCAGATACAATACAATTTACAAGCTGCTCTGATGCCTTATTAAGTAATCACCCTGGGGGTTATGCCATTAGGATTTTTTGTGATGCAAATATTGAGGATCAGAGTTTCAAGCCTTGTGAAATGGAGGTGGTGGCTCCCCATGGGCATCCTTGCTGTCCCTAACCCTTCATCCCAACACTGCCCTTCAGCAGAGATTTTTGGAGTGGTCACATATCACAGAGCCCTTCAACATGAAAACGTTTAGGTAAGCACTAGTTACCAATTGTTTTTTCAGCTGTTAAATAGTCAACATTCCCATAAGTCACAATAAACTAAAAAATAAAGTTGCAACAAGTTGTTCTAATTTTTTCTGAAATAAAAATAAAAATCTTTCAGCTACCAGAATGTTTTGCTGTGAATTTGTTCTTAATTTTAAGCATTGTTACATTAATAGTATGACTAACTGAAGTACTTATTGAAGCCATAATCCAACTAAGCAGAATAGAGTAATGTTCAAGTGAAACTTTAAATGAAGAAATCATTAAAAACTTGTGTTATGCAGGGTTTTTTTGCATAATAGAGGCCATATCTGATCACTTTGCAAAACAAAAGTACTTCTTTCAAAGCAGAAAAAATTAAAAAACGAGAAAATCCAAGTCTTTTTGCTTTCAGGCCTTTTTCTTTGATTTCCAACCAACGAATCTGCAACTTGGAACAGCACAACCTTGCATCCCCAATCTTGCTGGGGATGTGCACCCTCTGAGATTACTTTCCAAGGAAAAGATATGCTTTAGAGAGCCTCCATTTGCCACTTGGGACCTAATTTCTCCAGCAGAAATATGAGTCAAACACGAGAGCTCAGCTTTCAACCTAGATCACCTTCTGAAAAATCAGAGTACAAGACATAAACTAATTTGACCACAAAACAGACTGTTCATCGCTCACCACCCACCACCATTTAAATACGTGGGGATCATTTGACCAGAAAAATGTATTAGCAATAAGGAGATAGTTTTCCCTGCTGGTTCACATCCAACTATTTCAAAGAAAAATAAAAGTCCTCAAAGCATGATACTCCTCCCTCATATGTGGGAGTTTAAAGAGCAATAACCATGCTGCGAGAGCATCTCCTCAGTGGGCTTAATTAAGTGAATTTGCCCAGAGAATAATTACTGTCGCACGACCAGCAAGAGGAAGAGGCTGCCCAGAGTAATCACTGTGCCTCCTGCATACTCCAGAGAGAAATAAATTTCTCCCCCCAAAATCCCATCCAATGTTAAAATGCAGTCTGATGAGCTCCTGAACTAATGAGGATCCCTGGGAAGTCACATCTTTGCCTTGCCATGTCCCTGATTGCAGTTTATTCAGCGGACGGGCTTTTATCAGAGCTGTCCCTGTACTGACTTTCTGCTGTTTTTCCATCGGTTCAAAGCACTTACAAGCTTTTTTTCTTCTCTACCCGCCTTTCTTGGAACATGTTTCATCTTTGAGACTTTATCCCAGGCAACAGTGGGGTGGCCACACCAGACAGCGAGCACATTGCAGCAGGGTGCCCAATAGCCCAGGGATTACGAGCTCAAGCTGAGCACCCCACAGCCAGATCTGTGGGTGGGTGACGGTCCCCCATGTAACCTCCAGGTCTCAGGTCAGAAGCTCCAGCTACATTCATCCAGATCAGCCCAACACCATTTAAGCAAATCAGCTTTTTCCAGCAGGAAGACAGCTAATTCCGGAAATTTCCCACCATGGTTATTTGGTTTAGCTCTTAATAAACAAGCCCAGTGCAGCGCAGCACTGGAAGGGGTTACCCACGAGAACATTCCCGGAGGTCTTCAGGACTCAACATGGCAAAGCCAGGGCTGTCCTGGTCCCACTCCTAGGGACTAGAGCCCTGCAGAGGTCCCTTCCAGTGAAAACGGCCGTGAGTCTACTGTCCAGCATCTCTCCCAGCACCTCCCTGTCTCCCTAAGGCAAGGCTGATGGCCTCTGGCTTGCTGTTGTTAACACGGTTCTCCAGGCTTCTCTTCAATTATAGAGAGGAGTAGAAAAGTTATCTCAAAATGGAAAAGATAACGTGGAGGAGCAGAGCGTGAAATTTACTTCTTGGGTTCTAGCTCAGCCAAGGGAAAGGTGTCCCAGGGTCTCCCAAGGGCAGCACAATCAAAAACATAATGGGAATTCAGAAGTTGCAAATACATCAAAGTCTCATCTTCACAGAGTATTTCTCATGCAAATAGCTTCCTGGATGTGCTGCTCAAATGCCACTCAACACCTGATCAGCTTCAGCTGAAGATAATAACCCTTTTACTTGGGCAGATGA